GCCCATTTAAGCCTCTCATTCTACTTCCATATTTACCTTCCAGACTCTACAACTACATGAAACATCTTCCCATATTACCATAAATGACCCACCATTTTATATACAAATTCACCCACTCTCTAACCTACTTTTAAAAATCATTCCAGAAATTCTCACCTATCTCTTCTACATTGATTTCCCCACTTTTTACCACAAAACTTCTCTTGCTCTCATTTTTCGAAAACCCTATTTCCTTTGACTCTATTCCCTCCCACTCCATTTTTTTTCTCCCCTCTGTAGCAAAATTCCTCTAAAGAACTGTTTATACATATTCTAATAACTCTTCTTCTCTCGTTCTCTTTTCTAAATTCAGTGCAAACAGGCTTTTTTCCACTCTCCCAAAACTACTCCTGTCCAAATCACAAGCAACTTCTGAGCCTATGGTCAAATCTGTCATCACCTTACAACCTTAATGATTTGATCTAGTCTCAAGACATTAAATATCACCTATATGCTTATGACACCCAAATTTAGGTCTCTAATCTGGAGAAATAATTAGCAACTGTCTGTTTAGTATCTTTATCCTGGAGAAGGAATGGCAACCCACTCCAGTACTCTTGCCTGGAGAATTAATTCCATGGACAGAGGAGCCTGGTGGGCCATAGTTCATGGGATCACAAAGAGCTGTAAATTCACCCACTCTCTAACCTACTTTTAAAAATCATTCCAGAAATTCTCACCTATCTCTTCTACATTGATTTCCCCACTTTTTACCACAAAACTGTTCTCTTGCTCTCATTTTTCAAAAACCTTATTTCCTTTGACTCTATTCCCTCCCACTCCATTTTTTTTCTCCCCTCTGTAACAAAATTCCTCTAAAGAACTGTTTATACATATTCTAATAACTCCTCTTCTCTCGTTCTCTTTTCTAAATTCACTGCCAACAGGCTTTTTTCCACTCTCCCAAAACTACTCCTGTCCAAATCACAAGCAACTTCTGAGCCTATGGTCAAATCTGCCATCACCTTACAACCTTAATGATTTGATCTAGTCTCAAGACATTAAATATCATCTATATGCTTATGACACCCAAATTTAGGTCTCTAACCTGGAGAAATAATTAGCAACTGTCTGTTTAGTATCTTTCCCCTGGAGAAGAAAGGGCAACCCACTCCAGTACTCTTGCCTGGAGAATTAATTCCATGGACAGAGGAGCCTGGTGGGCCATAGTTCGTGGGATCACAAAGAGCTGGACACAACGGAGTGACTTTCACTTGACATTTCACATCTCTACCTGGATGTCTGTGTGCAGGCTAAGTCAATTCAGCCGTGTCCAACACTGCAACGCTATGGACGGTGGCCTGCCAGGCTCCTCTGCCCACGGGATTCCCCAGGCAAGAACACTGGAGTGGGGTGCATTTCCTCCTGCAGGGGATCTTCCCCACCCAGGGATTGAACCCGGGTCTCTCAAGGCTCCCGCACTGGCAGCAGGGCTTTACCACCTGAGCCACCTGGGAAGCCCTCCCTGAAGCCTACTCAGGGCCTGAAAACCAGCATTAGCTCATCAAAGGCTTGCCTAGATCCTCAAAACGGAACTCTTGCTGTCCCCCAACAACCGATTTATTAACAAATTTTACCATCCTGGTTGATAGAAACACCATCTTCTCAGCTGCAGAGGCCAAAATGTTCAGAGCAATACTGGACTCCTAGTCTTCTCTCAGCCCACATCTGACGCATTCGTGCTGAGACGTCCTCCTGGCTCTGTCTTCAAAGTATATTCACAATGCTCCTACAGTTTACCTCTTCTACTGCTACCGCTTTTCCCCACAGGCCCCTATGATTAGCTCCTTCACTTCCTTCAAACAGGGCTCACACAAAGGTCACTTTCTGGATGACCTATAATATAATCAATCTTTAAACTACAAACTAAGACCTTAATATTTCCTTTAAAAATTTCCTTCAACTTGCTTAACACTATCTTTTTCCAAAGAACTTACCACCTTTCATGTATTATATAAACCATTACTTATTTTGTTTATTGTTTATAGCTTTTCAGTGACTGTTTGAAAGTAAGGACCCCCCCCCAAAAAAAAAGAATCTTTGGCTGCTTTGTTTATTGTTGTATACCAAAAATCAAGGACAATTATGATACAAAGTCAGTGCATATATACTGGCTGAATGAATAGATGAGGAAACAGAGGCTCACAGAAGTAACAGTACTTCCCCAAATATCAAAGCTGGCACTTGAACCCAAAGTTAACTTCAAAGCTAATACTTTTAATCACAAGGCTATTCTGCTTTATCTATTAAATGTAACAGTAACTTGCATAATTGAGGGCATTTACACTTAGTACAACCTAAACAAAATTGACTTTTATAACAAGTTTACTTTAAAAAAAAAAAACAACTGGTGTTAATCAGTGTTTTGCATTAAGTAGAGCAAATACATATTCGATCAACAGCACTCACAGTCTCTTTTTATATATATACACTATAAAAGCATCTAATACCTCAGTGCTGAAATTCAGCCAAAGAGCTTTTTTCTTGGTGAGTAAGCACTTTGAAATTTTTGCTGAAAATGAGACTAAATTAGTCATTCACTCATTGAGAAATATTATTGATTTCCCAACACTTGCCAGACTCCAAACTACGATTAGTTCTGCTTCTCACATAGATCACTGTAATAATTTTGTTATTGTTCCTCATCTCAATCAGGTCTCCTCTCCTTCAACCTGTCCTAAGATCACTGCTAGTTATTTTTTCAAAATCCAAATATTACGATCATACTTCTTTTCTAAAAATCTTTCAAAGCTTCCCACTGCCTTTGTTTAGATAAGAAAGCTCAAACACACCACGTTAGACCTTTTATGATCCAGATGACCAATTCACATACAACTCACAATTCACACACCCACACAGCATCCCACAACACAGCATCTTCAGATATTATATTCCCTCTATTAAGAATGCTTTTCACATATATGTCTTCTCCAACTTACCCATAACCCTCACTTTTTCAAAGTCTATTTTACTAACACAACTCATCCTTGAAAATACATCTCAGGAATCATGTTTCCCTAGGGAGGTTTTACCTAACTCTGCAATACTAAATTGTGAAGTCTTTCCCTTCATTCTCATTCCTACCTTCTAGCACAGAATTTAGCACTTGGGTGCAGGTTTATTTATCTGTATTCAGTACTAATCTGTGAGCACCTATAATTATTTGATAAGTGGAATAATCTTAGTAGCATTTAATATAAAATAAAGTTGTGTGTTTTTTTTTTAATTTTGAAAAAGAAAGTGGAGCTGCTCAGTCGGGACCAACTCTTCACGACCCCATGGACTGCAGCCTACCAGGCTCCTCTGTCCATGGGATTTTCCAGGCAAGAGTACTGGAGTGGGTTGCCATTGCCTTCTCCAGGGAATGTTCCCGACCCAGGGATCGAACCCAGGTCTCCGACACTGTAGACAGATGCTTTTACCATCTGAGCAACCAGGGAAGTCCATTTTTTACTTTTATTTGCATTTATTTTTGTGACATTTCTTCCCGGGTCATAAGTTTCTGTTTCTTCAGTTTCTTCTGGGATACCTTTTTCTTCCGTGCAACCTCCTCTTCTGGTTTAGGAACAATCTGTTCTTTTTCAGTAAGGATCATCTCAGTGTGGCAAGGAGAGCTCATGTAGGGGTTGATATGACCATGAGCTCTGTAACCCTGAGCAGCATCTTGAGGGCTGTGTTCACCTGAATGTGCTCAATGACCAGAGAATCTACATCTAAGCCCTTAAGCTCAGCATTACTCTGCATTTTGGAGCACATGCAGTAAAAGTTCAGCACGCTTTCTGGGCCACCGACCCTGCGTCCAGCCCCATGGTTCGGCCTGTGCACACCTGCCAACCCCATCACTGTAGGGGTGGGGTGGCTCACACTGCTTCTGTAAAGTGACCTCCGTCAGATGCTTGCTGGCTGTCTGGATATGCACACCCTTTATGGCCTGGGCAGTTTCACGAGCGTTCTTAAAGTGAACATGAAGATTTGAACCTCTTGATTTGCGTGATTCTGTGGGGTTCTCTGGGTCGAGTGAATAGTGCACCATTTTTAGAGGTCACCTCAGCCCACTTACCAGGAAAGGAAGAGTTCCCTTTTATATAACAGTAATGAGACAGAGGCTGAATTCCTAGCTACTGCTTCAAAATTTTCCTGTAAGTGATGGTGTCCGTTTCTCCGTATTAGCCAGAACACTATAAGGAAACATTCTTAAACAATAACTATGCTCTGAATGCTATTTCCAGTAGCAGTCAATCACACCTTTTAATCTATACTCTGGGTCTTTAGTTCAACTAATCCAAAACCAGGCTTCCCCGGTGGCTCAGCTGGTAAAGAATCAGCCTACAATGCAGGAGACCTGGGTTCAATCTCTGGGTTGGGAAGATCCCCTGGAGAAGGGAATGGTTACCCACTCCAGTATTCTGGCCTGGAGAATTCCATGGACTGTATAATTCAAAATCAGATGCCACAAAACAGACATAAAGTAGTGCACTCATCGTTTCCTCCTTTTTACCTTAATTTTCTCACTTCCTTAAATCTCTTTTCACACTTGTATCTTTCTTTTTATATCTGTACTTCATTTTTCTTATTACTGGATTTTCTTTCCTTGAATTCTTCTTCCCTTATGCCCAGGCCATGACATGAGATAATATAGACATGTTAGTCTTATTATTGCTCTAAAATATAATGGAATTTGAGAAAGATTGAAAAATATTTGTTTTCTCCATATCTGCAAATAGAATCATCAGTTTACTTTTGCCAAACTCAGCCTTACTTATTGAAAAATAAAGAACAGACTTTACCATGAAGCACATAACCATGAAGATAACAATAAAATGATTAAATACTGATTTATAATAATTAATATCTAACTCACTATATTACTGTATGTAAAATCAATACCAAAAATATCAGTTCAAATAGCAAAAAAGAACAAGATTCTAAAGTAAAATATAAATGGATATAAAATAGATTACCTTCCTTCATTGACAAGTTCAATAAAAGCAAGGCCTGCATTCTTCTGAATAGAATTCTGCCATTCCTAAAAAAATAGTAGACAATAGCTGAACAAATTTCACTTAGTAGGTTATTTCTTTAAAACAATTACAAAAAACATCACCCATATCAATTACATACTTTGGCTCTTCGTGGAAAAGTTTTGTTAAACATGTTCTCTACCTAGCAGCCCATGAACACATAAATAGTTGACATTAAAATGGAAACAAAACAAGTCAGCAACAGTTAGATTCTAGATAAACTAAATGAGTCTACCTATATATATCTTGCCCTTTTAGTTCTATACCAGTATATCCCAGTAATTTAACTGAAATAGTTTGAAAGAAGGCAGCAAAGACGACCAAGGACAAAGGTTTTGGTTTTGTTTCCTTAAGAAACAAAAGAGAGGAAGATGGAATTAAGTAGCTCCATAAACTTAATAAATAGCGCATGTCCTACAAAATTTGATAACTAAAGATTGAGAAAAAGACAAGAAAAATCAATGAATTTGGCTAGATCACTTTTAAAATGGAAAACCAAAAGTCACTAGCCTATGAATTAGCAAATGATGGTGCAAATATATTAAAATATTCTTTATAAGTCACCCATTAAAAAGCCATAGAAAGAAATCAACCAATAGAGTGTGTAGGAAAAAAAAAAAAGTTTAATCCTTATTTCAAAACAGATATAAAATAAGCATCAATCCAAAAAGACTGGGGCCACATAAACTGAAATACAGCTAGACTTGAGAAATACCAATGCATGCATGAATGTGCACATGTTTTTTAAAAGCAACCAGACACATATAATTCTTATGTTTCTTAAAACTAAGGAGCCTTATAGTCCACCTACATAATATTACTCAACTAATCTTTTTTTGTTCTTTTATAAAGCCCAAAACAAAAGATAGCCTGGGACCTTAGCACTGTTACCATGAACAGTGTTCACATTTTCTGAATCTAACACCTTTCAGAGTTTTTAACACTGTGTAATTTCATATCCTATATTATGCCAAATTCTAATTTTTCTAAACCTCATCCTTTCTCATCTACTTTCTCATTTTTATCCCCAATTTTGTATTACTTGTAAGGCTTGAAAAACCTGAGCTTCCTCTCAGAACTGAAATGGCTGTTTGCCATAATTTTGTTAGAGTTCTACTTCATGAATAGTGTAAGGAAGAGCATACCAACTGAATATATACAGCAGAATAAGAAGTAGATATAAAGGCATTTAGACATCTGAGGACAGTAATGGGCTAAGACTAAGAAAGAAGATAAAGCAGTGTGTTGCTGAGGAAAGAGCAGGAAACGTAACGTGTTCTTAAGGAACAAGAAGTCATGAGATTGATGTTCTCAAATCAACTATGACATTAACAGGCTATGTCCACAGAGAGAGCACTCTACATCTCTAGGTCCTTGATGATCTCTTTAAACATTCTTGAAGCTATATGATTCTATGATTCAACAACTCACAAACACCTACAAATTAGTGGCTCATAAGTCCACAACATATACCTTGAAAACTCACAACTGCCAGCCAACTGAAACAACAAAATAAACATCTTATATTTCTTTCACTGAGGTAAACCAAGTGAAGGATAAACAGAATACCCATCTAACTTAAAATCCTTTTCTTTCCAGCAAAATGAAGTAAACAGTTAGTACAAAGGAAAGCAACCAAACCCCAAGAAGAAATAAATCTCTGAGAGAAGAAATGTCAGGCCCCCCACTCTTCTCAGAAATAGGGAGAAGAGAGAAAAAAGCAGAAACTGCAGGTAAGTTTTTGACCCTGGCCCAGAAACCCACACCTCACTTCCGAGCCTGAGCACCGGGAGATACCAAGTCTCGAGGAGTTGCCCTAAACCCAGTAACGCGTGGGAAGAGCAGACAGACAGATCAAGCGGTGGATGGACTTAAAACAGCCTCAGAGTAACTCATGCCCTCGCAGAACTCAGAAAATAACAGAACGATGTACAGGTCGTTGCGGCTTTGAGGGGATGAGGGAAACGGCAAGGAATCAGAACGGACGGTAACACCAAGGGACGCTCCTGTCAAGAACAGAAGCACATGCCACTCCTCAGCTCTTAGACCCAACAGGGCCACGTGAAAGTCTCACATAGCACCAGAGTACACGGAGGTAAAATCTTAAATAAACTGCATTTTCTTATGCATCATTTACTTGAGAGAAAAATTTCACAAAGGAAGCTAAATATACTGAAAAGAAAATAGTTACTCTTATTACTAGAAAAAAAGGAATTAGAAAGAAAGGCAAGAGATTACCCCATATATAATTCTCTAGATCAGACATTTTATTTTTAAAAGTATCCATCACTTTCCTCAAATCTGTTTTGTCTGATTTAAAGCTGCAACAAGTGGGGATTTTTGTAAGTCATACAAAACTCCAACTCCACATGAAAAAAACAGGTAACAGTGGAGAGATTCAAATTTTCAGTATACAGGTAACCATCGTTTTATTTACACTTATGTAATACAGATTGACTCTTATAATGTAAAAGCAGAAAGTGTCTCATTCAAGTGTCACAAAGATTTCAAACAGTATGGTTTAGGTCCGATAGAAAACTAATTAAAGTTATTATAACCATAAAAAATGATCATTTAAAAACTTTATGATCTCAAATTCAGTATGTCCCACTATTTTTTTCCTCTTAAATTAAAAAAAAAATTAGACATGAGGATATACATAGAATTGGAAGAGTCCAATTTTTCTTACAAAAGTTCAGAAACATATTTATGACTGCTAATACATTTGGATTCTTGTTTTCCCAAACATCATCTATAAACTCATATTAGTTTACTTGTAGGAAAGGCTTTCTATTCACATGGAATAAAACTTTTCCAGCAACTGAAAAAATTTAGACAAAATGAGAAATGAAGTGAAAATACAAATTCTTATCTACACTGAGTAGTTATATAAATCTCACAATTCTCAAAGATGTCAGAATTTTAATTTGCTTATAATCCACTCCTAATTATAAATTATCTAACAATAAACTATGACACACCAGGTACATAAATACATACTGATAGGAATTCATAACTCAGGTTAAAAAAAACCTGCAGCCCATGAGAAAAGGAAATTTAAAAAATAAATAAATAAACCCAGGTGTTAGTCAAAGCCAACAAGTTTTCTCCATACTAAAACACCATCAACAATCTGAAAATTGAAACGAAGATCCATGCTCTCCTAAAGCATTTTTCTCCACTTCTGAGATAATTATTAAAGAAGGTGTTAGTCAAAACAATTTCATAAACCACAGCTCAATATAACTTTTAGTGAGCTTTAACAGCTGAAAGAAAAGCTTAATGGTTATCGTCTTTCATGATCATTTCAATATTTCATAATAATATTTATAATTACATAGTGATGCAAAATGCACCATACATTTAAAGGTCTTGGTTATTCTTCTCCCAGAGGTATTGATGAAAAACATGTTAAAAGCCTCAAATCCAACCACTAATGCAACTAAGTAATTTTAAAACACATTTCAGCACTTTGGAGAGGAAGGACTCAAAACACAACAACGGAGTCAATAATTTCATACCTGTTCTAAGCTGTATTTAATTGACTATCACTTCCTAGGGCCACAATTGGTGACTAGTCAATTTTTACTAAAATATACTCTTAGCTTAGTAATGCTCTTAGTCATACAATAACAACAACAACAGGATAATATGTATTAGTGAAATCTATTAAACAGAGTTACACCAATTCTCAAACGTGTTTTCGGTGGTAAAAGTCTACCAAACTTGGGATGGGGGATAAAAGACTCCATTAACTAAACTACTTCTGTGACTCCCTAACATTAACAAATAAATAAGGAAAGGGCACCAATAAATGTGCTATAATTTATAATATTTAATATAACTAAATTCCTTAAAGTGAACTTAACAGTTTCCTATATACACACACACACACACACACACACACCAGAATTAAACAACTCCTGTTTGTAAAATACATTCATTCAATATGTTGCCTTGATGAAAATGAGTTGAAAGAAACTCAAGGTTATGAAGTGAAACCAAACAGCTATCATCCAATGATAGCCACTTATATTCCAAGATTCATGTGGTAGGTTTGAAAGAAATATGATGAAAGATCTGATTGTATAATTTTACATAAAGATTAATAGACAGAAAGATGAAGTAATACCTTCACAAAAAATTAGCTTTCTCTTAGCCAGAAAGCTTTCTCTTAGATTTCTCTTTCTTCCACACTATAGAAGATATTCTTCTGAATTTCTCTGCAGATGTGATCTCATGTCCTTGAATACACTTATTACAATTCATCATCTACATAGCAACAGACAGGGCCGTGCTCATAAACCAGAACTGGTGCTAGATCTGGTAAGTCATTAAGCAAATATATTCCGAAGTCATACGAGGCTTGCGTGCCCACTGCCTACCTATAAAAGGAAAATGGGATTTCTAATACACAGATTGCTTTTAAGACTTGTAAAGTGGTAGTCTTCAATTCACATCTTGCCCATTTTTCATGATTTCACTACTTTCAAAACCTAAAATACACCTGGATAAATTGTTCATGGTTGTCTTTAAGATTACTATATTTGTCATTGTGTGGTCATGAAATCTGTTAGCAAGTATGAAACAGAAGTATTTTCACTGAGACATTTTTTAAATTAAGAATTATGGGAAAATCTGAGACAACATCAACTATCAAAAAGATAAAGCAGAGAGAGAACAAGACAGCGGAGGAGTAGGTGGATGTGGAGTACATCTCTCTCCACGGATACATCAGGAACACACCTTCAGACACTGAAGTGCATGCAAAACAGCAGCTGAGAGAAGGCAAGAGGACCTGACCAGTGGAAAAGAATATATAGAACCACGCAAAACTCGGTAGGATGAAGGAACTGGGGGGAAAACACCAGTGTCAGCAGGATTGGACCTGCCCTCAGCGTGTGGGGGAACTGAAGCAGGGATCCGATCCCCACAGCAGGGCGTCTGAGTCAGAGGAGAGACATTTAAGGCTGAGAGGGAAACCGCTGACCTGTGGCCGCCTAAA